CCAAACTAACCACTAACCGAACAAATAACATGTAATTAACTAATAAATCTTATCTGTTCGATAATCAATATGCATTTTCTACCTATAGACGTTTAGTGGTTGACTGAAATCGAGTAGATTAGTGAAAAAATCTCAAAATACACATCTTTTTAAAAAAATTCCCAAAATACACACGTTTTATGAAAAATTCCCAATCTACACATGTTTGGGTATCACTGCGGCTGTCAATAGCAGTGAATGCATTCACTGCGGCAGACGAAAGTGGTGATGCATCACCGCGGTTGTCGGCCGTAGTGAAGGCCTGGCCCAAGGTTGAAACTTCAAACAAACGTAATTTTGTGCTCGGTTATCCGATCATATCGAAATCTTTTTTATTCCACCTAACGTTTCAAGATCTTTCAATGAGCAACTTGCCTTCATCTAAAAAAAATGTCGTTTGCTACCTCGATCTAGCAATTTTTCGATTTTGTCAAACTTTGGAAGGCCATAAATTTGTGCTCCTCCATCCGAATGTCATAAAGTTTTTTTATTACGCATAACATTTTAAGAACTACAAATTTTACTAGGAAAGAATTTTCAAAACAAGAAATATGTTTTGGTATACGGGATTTTGGGAATAACTTTGCCTTTACTTTCCACAAATTCACATACATTCCAAAACTATGGTTATGATCAAAGTTGTAGTCCTTAAAAAGTTATGCGTATTCAAAAAAAGTTTCATGAAATTCGAATTGCAGAGCACAAAGTTATGGTCTTTCAAAGTTTGTCGAAATCGTAAAATTGCTTGTTCGGGGTAGCAAACGACATTTTTTTGGATGAAGGCGAGTTGCAGATTGAAAAAGCATTAAAATTTATATGGAATAAAAAAATTGCTATGATCGGATAACCGAGCGCAAAGGTACGTTTGTTTGAAGTTTCAACTTTTGGTCAGGTCTTCACCGCGACCGATATTCACTGCTTTCGTCTGCTACAGTGCTGTATGGATTTAGAATTTTTTGTGTATTTTGAGAATTCTTTTTAAAACAGGTGTATTTTGAGATTTGAGATTTTTTTCCGTAGATTAGAGCTACTGGCAAATGCTCATTTGCCTTTCAAGCTGTTGACTATAGACAAGACGCCAAACAACATCGTTTAGCTGCCTCTTCCGACGCTTACCTGGCTGTGACTGTGTTGCAAGGGACCCATTGTCTTGTGACGTGGCTGTTCCTAGGTCCAGTTATCCTACAGCCACACAATCACAGTCACACTTTTGACCAGGGCTGCAAATGAGCCAAGCCGCTCGCGAGCAACTCGGCATTCGAATCGGAAAAAACTCGTTCGACACTCGACTCATTATTTAACAAGCCGGCTCGCGAGCCAACTCGTTAGTTAACGAGCCAAGCCTGAGCTATACCATGCTCAGCTTGATAAGCTCGCGAGCTAGCTTGATTCGGTGGCTTGTCGAGCTAAGCTCGCGAGCTGCCTTATTTTGAGCTTGTGGAAGGATGAATTACTCTTTTAAACATGAACATTGTCTTCTAATACAGATGTGTATGAAATTTAGATGTTATTTATAGTTTCTAGTGTTCTTTTTATCATTTAAATTCTTATGGTTATACATTTTTCCATAAAAAATGATTTTAAATCGAGCTCATCTTGAGCCGAGCTTGTACTCAGCTTGACAAGCTCTGTTAATGAGCATTTATCGAGCTCTACCGAGTCGAGCTCGAGCTAGATTATTTTTATTCAAGCCGAGCTCCAGCTCGAGCTGGATTATCAAAATTCGAGTTCGAGCCGAGCTCGAGCTGAAAAATTAATAAACGAGCCAAGCTCAAGCTAAGCAAAAACTCGACTCGACTCGGCTCGTTTGCAGCCCTAATTTTTGACTCTACGTGTCGCAATCTAAACGGATATTTCCCACAAAACATAAAAAGAAAAATCAAGTTCTGCTGGATAATCCCTCCTTCCTTCTCAACCTCACTTCCCCCTTCCCACCCAATTTTCCTCTCCGCCTGGAAAACCCAAGAACCGAAACGAGGAACGGGAAGACGGAAATGCAATCCACCAGGAGCTGCGTACAGAGATTCATCTGCTTGCTCCCATTTTCCATCTGAAATCCCTGCCGTCTCCAGCCCTTCTTCGCTGCTTTTGTTGCAAGCTGGTACGCAGAAATTAGCAGTGAAAAACATGGCGGCACTCACTTCAGTCTCCTTCTCGCCGGCGATGGGTCACTCTTCCGCTGACGGAAGGTCTTCCTCCTCTTCGTCTTCTTCCTCCGCCCGCTCTCTAGCTTTCTCCACCTGCGAAGCCTTCCGTTTCCGAACTTTCCCTTCCCCTTCTGCTCGCGTTCGTGGCTCTACCTCGTCGATATCTGGCTTCGTCATCCGTAGCACGTCCGTTTCTACAGGTAATTCCCAAATTTTCTGCTAGCAGTGCTTTGATTGGTATCTGGGCTTGAATTAGAATGGAGATTCTAGAGATCAAAATTGGTGGGTTCTTATGCAATGTTCACTGAACTTGATACGAATTGAATTAATTAAGTTCTTCTTGATAAATTGATTAGGTTCATTTCTCGGCATTATGGCCTCCTTGTCTCGGAATATGATTGAATTTGAAAAAGTTCAATGTTGAGAGTTCTGCTTGCTAGAAAGTCCAATGATATGTGCCGCCTAGAATGCCCGTTTCGTTGATTCCGTGGCTTAATTGATATCTCAGATTTGCCTACTGTGGCCGAAACCAAGTTGAATTTTCTCAAAGCGTACAAGAAACCAATCCCTAGCATCTACAACAATGTCCTCCAGGAGCTGATCGTGCAGCAGCATTTGATTAAGTACAAGAAGACATACTGTTATGACCCTGTATTTGCCCTAGGCTTTGTTACTGTCTATGATCAGCTCATGGAAGGATACCCGAGCGATGAGGATCGCGAAATCATTTTCCAAGCATACATTAGGGCCTTGCAAGAGGAGCCAGAACAATACAGGTTCTAGTTCCTCGTACCTTCGATGTTGTTTGAAGTTTTATGAAGTTGTGGGTTCATAATTCATCGCTTGTGCATTCTGAAGTATAGAAATGATGCCCAGAAGCTCGAGGAGTGGGCAAGGACTCAGACACCCACTTCACTGGTTGAGTTCCCTTCGAGAGAAGGTGAAGTCGAGAGCACCTTGAAAGATATAGCAGAAAGAGCTGGCACCGGGAATTTCAGCTACAGCCGTTTCTTTGCTGTTGGTCTTTTCCGCCTGCTCGAGCTTTCCAATGCCACTGAACCCACTGTCTTGGATAAGGTCAGTAGATCTACAATTCCTTTGACAGGTTGGAGATTGTTTGCTAAATTTACATTCAGTGGAGATGTTCGTTGTTGTTTCAGAAATGAGTTCTTTCTTTCGTTTCTCGATTAATCTATCATCCGCTCAAGTTTTGGGTATTCTTGGTCCATATTTTCTATGGTAGTTTGTCCTTCTTCTCATGTTTCCAACTTAAACTTCAAGCCATAGAAGAGTTTCCTCAATACTGAAACCCAGAACCCCATGCAACAGCTTTGTGCAGCGCTAAACGTGAACAAGAGGAGCGTGGACCGGGATCTTGATGTATACCGCAACCTGCTCTCCAAACTTGTTCAGGCAAAGGAGCTACTCAAGGAATATGTGGAGAGGTATTGAATAATAAAAGCATAGGAAACTAATTGAATTCCCTCTTCCCGATGAAGTGAGTGCACATTTGAGTCTGATATGGATTCACTAACACTGCATTTTTTCTTTTATGACCAGGGAGAAGAAGAAGCAAGCAGAACGAACAGTGTCGCAGAAGGCTAGCGAGGCTGTGAAGAACTGTTTGGGACAGCCTACCTACGTAGGGCAGCTGTAGACCTAACTGAGTAAAAATGGCTCCACAACGGTTATTTATAATTCCTTCCTCTTTAAGTTGAGGTTAGAGTTGAATTGTGGGTTCTTCACAGCTTCGGAACTGGTCTTCGTTGCAAATGTTGTGGGCTTGCAATATTCACAAAGTTCGAGCTACTTCGTTCCTCCAATCTGCCTTTTTGCATTTTCCCCTTATTTTTTCTTCTCTTATGAAATTTCGAGTTAGAGAGAGAAGTCTTGTTGTCAACGACACAGTGTGAGCGTTCAAGGGTGATTGAAGGACTAAGTCCGAAAGCACTGAATGAGACTCTTGGAACCAGACTCACCAGACGGGCCGCCCAAAACCTGGAGCTGACATTTAAATCGGAAATCAACGTCGGATCCCGGCTATCCGCTAACAACGCCATGGCATGCTCAATTATCTCTTGCGGAAGGCCACGGCTTTTGTGGAGCAAAGGATTAAAAACCTTGAAACCACCTTTCTAGAATCGGTGGACTGAAATGATTCTTCTTCTTCCAGATATGACTCGATTTTCTTTATTTTCTCTTATAGGATTTTGTCGTGAAGGGCAGTCCACAGAAAACATCGTATCTTCTCAGGCCCCCCCTTCTCGCCTTTCGGTGCTTTATGGTATCGTTTTGACAGGTACTGTTTTGATGACAGTAATGAACTACTTCTTTTAACTCTTTCGAGATGCGTGAATACATTTATTTCGAGATAGGAAATGGCTGAATATAGAAATTACCCCCATCTCTATCTTGTTCATAGTTTTGTCTTCCTTTTTTGCTGTTCCAACTCTATACACAGAGTGTACGTACTTAAAATTCAATTGTTCTGATAAATTGACTCTCTCCTACCCTTCACTTGTTATGTTACATTTGAACCTCTTTTAAGAAGTGAACAATTTTAACAATCATTTTGCATTATATACCATAAACAATAGAAATTTGCAATAATGGATTAAGGATGGCAAAAAAGACCCAATTTTTGGTTCGGACTGAGTTGTAGTTTGGATATATGGATACTCGATTTTAGTGCAATTTTGTACTTATCTTTTGTTGCAAACCAAAAATATGGAGACACAAACATTAAATATGTAATTGGGTTGAAAGTAGAAAATGAGATTATTGATAATGTCATTTTGTGTGTACAAAATCCATTGAAAAATGAAAATGCATATGGGTCATTTGGATATGACACAATATTGATATGAATCATGACGTTTATGTCAAATTACCAAACAAGTGGGATGCATTGTCATGCTAGTACATCTTTCATTGCAAGACAAATATTAGTTGCTCCATCCAAGAATATTAATATGGGCTTATGTTACTGATATCAACAACATGAAATAGTATTAATGCATTGTTTTGTTTTGATGTAGACATTGGCAATTTTTGATTGACGAATCGAGTAGATAGATTGCAACTTCTAAACTCACACCTTTTTTCATGTGAAAAAATGACCCACATAAAACATGACGCCCATCCCATTAATCGATCAAACAACCCGACCCAATGTGTTAAAAAAAACGTGAGTGAATGGTGCGTGACTCTATGTGCAACCCACACCTGATCTGGCTTTGCGCCTGAGCCAAATAGGTCAGGGAATTTTCCAGCACCCACCCAATTACCACTCCAAATCACAAGTTACAAAAGCCTACGTTTAGTCCGTGCCAAATCAACCTAGAGATAGAACATGGAAGGCAAAAATAAAAATAAGGGGGGAAAGAACGTTTAACTAAGATGGGAAATGTCAAACTCATCTGGCATCTTGAACGTATCAGCAGCACCAAACTTCCTGAATTCTTCCCCCTGTACTGAATCCTCCTCATCGCTATCGCGGTCCTCTTCATCATGAGCATGGTGACTCGGTGTCGATGGATCGCTCATACTCCTAGATCGGCAGTCATTCGTGGCAAGTATATTCACCTGACCTAGGTGTGAGATCTCCACTACAACGGTGTCGTCATCCACTGGCAAGGGTTGCTTCCAGGGCTCCCCATCGATCCTCATGAACGTGTGATCTGCTGCGCCTTTGTGGAACTCGAACCGGATTCTATGTGCCTGTGCGAGGCGAGTCCCGTGTCCTTTAGGTGCAAGAAGGACGAGTCCATGCCATGCGTCTCTAAAACCCACAACCTCGATACGCCCATCATCCACAAAGGGTGCAGTTAAGTCTCTCTGCAACCAAAATATTAACATTTTTTTTTTGTTCATTGGTTATGGACTGCAATGCAGGATGGGGGAAGGAAAAGCAGAAATTCACTGAGCAAAGCAAACGTCTGGAGTTAAAGGAGAATGGAGTGCTTACATCACGGCGTTTCCAAGTACTTGGTGTTCCCCAAGGGTTTAGCCCGCCAGAAAAGCTGGGCAAGTTGAGGCACACTATTGACCGTATCCTGTGGACCAGAAAAAAGGGATATGAAGTCAATGATATGTGTTCTTCTTAATCAGAAGGAAATCTGTTACAAGAGAAGCAGAAATCTTGCCCATTCGATATGGTTAGATCTTCCCAATGCCCTAGTCTTTTCATGACCTTCACCTTTGCCAGGCTAGCTATTCTGTAGTAGAATATAGATGATGTCAAATGTCATGAAATTGTTCAGTAGTATGCATTCCTATGAAGAAACTGCATCAGACACTTTGACACCATCTTATTCAATCAAGACTAATTAAGACAGAAGGGGAAAAGAAAAAAATTACCCCACCTTGAGTCGGATTGAAAAACAGAAGCGCAAAACCACCCTTGTGTGCAACCAAGCTTGGCATAGGTACTCTGGTCAGAGAGACAGGAGAGAGAACAAAGACAACTAGTTAGAAACATAATAAGCACTAAGCAGCATTTGATGCATATAGTGTAATGGCAGTATTGATGTCTGAGAACTATCCAAATGGGATGTGGCTCGACAGACGACTAAAGAATTGTTGTGATTTTCAACGTGTTAATCTACTCAGATTGCGTACTCAAATAGCCTCCGAAACAAAGAATGGAGGAGAAACAATCATTCAAATAACATGAAGATACCTGATTGCTCAGCTGGTTCTTAAATTTTTCAGGATGCAATTTCCTCTCAGAATGAAATGCATAAGATACTTGAGCATCCATGCCTGCATAAACGAAATATGTAGTTGTTCCGTCAGATAGTCACAATAAATGGAAAAGACCAAAGCTGATAGCAGGCTCCAACAAGGAAGGTGAACTAGTAAAAACATTTTCGTATTTTGAATGTCTGACCGGGACTGTGGAAGGTTAAAACAGCAGGATGAAGCATACTTTCACTTTCTAACATAAGAAGTGATTATTTGTTCTAAGGTTTGGGAGGGGTTTGGTTCGCTCCAAATATTAGAAAGCATATCCTTCAACAAAGGAGCTACTTAAAATTGAGACGGATAAAGAAAGAAGGATGAGAAAAAAAGTGCTAACAACCGAAGGAGAGCACTATGTTCAGACAGGAACTCTTACCCAAGCTAAAGTAATTCCAGAACCCTCCACGAAATGTGGTATATCCTTCCTGAATGAAAGCACATGTTGTCAGTTTCAATCTATACCATCAAAGCAATCTAGATGCATGATGACGAAGCTAATAAGAAGAAGAAAAAAAAACCGAGATATAAAGCACAGAGCAGATGCATGAACTCTGCCCATCATGAAATTAGATGCTTCTGTCAGGTTGTCAAAGTTTATCAGTATGTAGCGAGAGAACTTTGAAAAACCCAGTGGGTTGACAAGAAATTAGAATAGTTGAATTGTAATTCACAAAAGCATGGAACCATTTGTGCAATAAGTATCAGTGATCTGGTTCGAATGATGCACACAAGTTTAAAAGGATTTTTGGAAGGAAATACTTCAGCGACAAGTAAGTATCGATCAAGCTTTAAACAGCAAGTTCCATGATCTCGAGCAGTTACTTCTTAATTAGCAAGCTGTCGGGGATTCAAAATGTATTGAAAGTGACCATATAAGTGCAATATAAATTGTATTACCATGTTGAATTCGTCTGAAGAAGAGACACGGTGAACTGCATGTAGAGAATGTGGTAGCTCGAGAGGTGCAATAGGGTCACAAGAACCGTCTTTGGGGGTCTTCATTCTCATCAGAATGTGCCAGCTGAAAGAGTGAATAGCCAAAGTGAAGTGAGTACACATACAAAGAAGGATGAGAAATTAAAACTAAGCTATCCATAACATCAACTTAGGTGATAGCCTAAAGATCTACTGCATAATCCTGAAGATTGAACATTCGTGAAAGCATAACGTAGAAGGGTTATAAACTTTTTACATGAAGCTATATCAAACATATAGGGAGAGGGGGAAACAAAGAAAGCCGAATAAGTCATTCACTCACATAAAAGACCCTACTTCCAACCCAAAAAACATTAGATATTTGGAAAAACAATGCAAGAAGAAAAGGATAGTAAATAACACAATCCAGCTAGCATCACATAGACAGAGGTGGCAAAGAACTCACTTGTCTATTTTCATTTCTTTTGCTTTCATTACTTCCTTCAGAAAGGATATTACAGATTGACGATCTGTCCCGGGATTCTTTTTCCCCTGCAAACAACAAACTGAACTTTTCAACTCGTTGCTTCCCATTGGAAAGGTTTATACGCATTAACTATTCTTATATGCAGATACCAAAGATCACAACTGCCCAGCTGGTTTAAATTTCAGGTATAGGTATATAAAACATGAACAGGCTGCATATATCAAGCAATCAACACTCCATCTCATAATAGATAAGCAACAAACTCATACCCAACCGAAAGCGAAAGGAAGGTTGTTCCCAGTTCCCAAAGGCACAGTTGCAATGGGAGGAGGATGAGGGAACTTGAGATCACAGACAACTCCAAGAAGCCAGCCAGCAGTTCCATCACCACCTGCAACCTAGCATCCCCAACAACAGAGATCATGAAACAAGCTCCCGGAATACACAAAACAGGAAGCAACAAATAAGAACTACCTGCCAATCGAACTCACAATTATTTTCAATTTCTCCTGAATCTTAGCAGCAAACTCGTCACCTCCAGACTTGAGCCTCTCAATATTCATATATATCCTCCGCAGCACTTTATCAGGGGTCTCTACCCCCAAATCGAAAACCTGAAATCGAGGAAATCAATCGCAACATCTTAAACAGAAAGAGAACAAAATTGCCACAGAGACGGACAGCTCTCGAGCTACAATCAAACCTGACTGTCATTGAGAACGGATCGATAGGTTACGAGAAGATCCCCGCCAAGCTGGCCGCCACTCTTGGAGTTGATGAACACCAAAACCGGACACTGCGGCACGTCGGGAACATTGACGGCCTCCGATTCGGGGACGAGTACATACGTAGGGATGTAGAATTCCTTGAGCAGACTCGAGTCGGCCTGTGAATCCACGGACGACGCTTCCATCTGCATTGCCAAATCGGAAACCAGAATTCTCAATTTTCGTTCACCCGGAATTCAAACTTCTAATCCGGACTAAAACCATGCACAAAACACTGTTTCGGGCTCCTCAGCTTCCCGTTTCTGTTCAGCATTTAAGCGAACACATGGTGCTCATTACTGAAACGGAGGGTAGAGAAGCGACAATTCCAAGCAGAAAAAAAGAGAGAGAGAGGGATCGGGCCTCGGGGAGGCTGGTTTACCTGTTTGCGAGAAAAGAGAGATCGAATTTGGGTGGAAATGGAAACCGAGAGTTTGTGGAGACGGTGAGTGACCGATAAATCGGATCCAGGGATCAAATTCCTACTATTAAACAGGAGACGGAGAACGTTATACGGAGTTTGGAAGCGGGTGGGATATTCATCGTTCGTCACCGAGTCAACGCGTCGCGTGAGAAGGGTAGATTACCTTACGATCGGATCCTTGTGGCTGTAGGAAGGAATGATGAAGCAGCAGGAGGAGAGACGGAGCAGCTGACGTCGAATCCCACCTGGCGCGTCGCTGTAGTTGAGTAGTTGTCTGATTGATTCATCCTCCATTAAATCATGCTACTGTAGGTACTAGGAATTATCGAGTGGATGGGGAAGTGGGAACTAAAGGAACTAGGACATAATTTACCGTCCATTTAGTTTCTTATTTTAACTAGGTTCCCGGGTAATTTTGAAGGCGTGGATGAAGAGTTCACACTTCAAACTATTGATTATTTATTAGAGAATGTTGGAAAGAAAATTTAATTAATTAACTATATTTATTGGTCGTTGCTACTTTCGTTATAGGTTGAAATAGAGTCCTGGTTTGATTCTCTTATTTGTCTTTCTCAAACCGAGTGATCCATGAATTGGAATCCTAATGCATATAACCTATGTTTGGCCCAGCTTTTAGAAGTGTTTTTCGGCTTTAAAAGCTGAAGCAGGGCCAAACACCTCTAAAAGTTCGGCTTTTGAAAAGCCGAAAAGCGCTTTTGTATAACATATAAGCAGAAGCTCCGAGCGAAAAGCTGTTTTGAATTACAAGATTATCCTTACCGTATTTTAATTTTATTTCAAAAAATATAATTTTCCTTCATTTATATCATTTTAAAAATAAAATAAATTATAAAATCATATTATTTAATATAAAAGAAATCTAACAATATATAATTTTGACGACTTTTTATTGTTTATAATTTTTATTCATATTTTATATTATAAGTCATTTATAGTCATTTTACACAACCGCTCATATTAAAAAACACTTCTAATATTTTTAGAGCCAAACAAAAAACTGCTTTTTTTGAAAAGTACTTATCTAAAAGCTCCAACAAGAAGCGGCTTCTGCAAAAGCTACGGCAGGGCCAAACTAAGCTATAGACTATAGATACAAATGGCGTAATTCCTCGATCCATACACTGTGGTTTTGATTTTTGAAAATACTAAATCCAAACCAAAAAAAAAAAATCAAAACCGTACGGTTTGTTTATAATTGGATTGAGTTGGGTTGGATGGGCTATACTTTATACAACTCAATTTAAGAACTAATTGAAATCTCAATCTAATAAACCAAACCAAAAAACATAATATGCATAGACGCTGTAGTTTGAATCTTGAAAAACTACAATTTGCTTCAACATATGCATAGTATTTTGATAAACAATTACCAAAATAATCTAAACATATTATTCAAACACATATATAATATCTTATTCTTCTAAAATTGTATAAAAAAACAACGTGAACAGTATCCTATATTAAATATGTTCAATATGCCAAAATATATAAATTTTTCACAAATATACTTGTATATAGCATAAATACGTTTTAGATACGAACACTTGCGACAATAATTATAGTACAATTTGGATTAGGTATTTACAAATTGTATTATCCAAAACCCGCACTTCGCACCAATCCGAAAAGACGACTTTAACCAAAGAAAACTCTCAGACAAGTTTGAACCTTAATTGAATTGTAGTGATAACAAAGAGTGGGTCGGGTTGGATCGGGAAGGTAGGTCGGAATACATACGGTTATATTTGTTCACACGGAGAGGAAAGAGCGGGGGGTAGGTTTTGTTAGACCCTAGAAGAATCAATCCTCTTCGCTAGGCGGCCAACAGAGCGTCGGGAGATGGAACAACATTTCTAAATTCTCTGATTCTTGAATCTTCTTAAATCAGATTCAAACTTTCAGGGGGAAGACGATGACGGACAGATCGCAGAGATGCAGGGGGAACGGAATCTCGAAATAGCAACAGTAAACTTCAATAAATTGATTCCATTAGTGAACGATAGTTTCTGAAAACTCTTACCTTGCGTCTGCAGCACGAAGGCGTTGTTCTCCCTCTGCTGCGTCGACCACCGTCTGTTGCTCCGTCTTCTACAGCTCTGTCGCCGGGAACTCGGGGCGGCGGCGCAGAATTCCCCATTCTTTCGATTTCGCGGGGGCGACTCGAGTTTTGCTTTGCTTCGCAGGCAAGGTATGATACGGATACGGGATCTGGATTTGGCCCAAGCAATTTATGGTTGGTTTTTGTCTTTCTTGCTCTGTTGGGTTTTGGTCTTTTTTCCCTTTAATACAGTTTGGTCCAACTCGTGGGAGAGAGAACCGTGAAAGACAAAAGATTCGCCGCCCAATCAAACGCCGTTTCCAGATTCAAATACTCAAACGTGTCTGCTCTGCCCGCAGCCGGAGAATTTTCAAATTCTGCCATAAGTGCGTTATGAAACTCCTATTAAACTTTGACCTTTTCTCTATGCCCGTCAAACCCTTCTTCACTATGCTTTTTCAGGTAAGTTTAGGTCAATCAAAGTCTTCTATGGTTTTGGATCAGAGAAGACTAGCAGCATAGCTGGCAGGCGGTGAGAGAGAAAAACAGTGTAACTCAAGAACCTCAAAAATTGAACGACGTTTTTTCGTCTGTACGGCCTTCGATCAACGGCCGGTGATATGCTTCTTTTCTCTGTGCCCTTCCACCCTCATTTCGCTGTCAATTTCGAGCAAGAATGAATGGCTTTTTATTCGTGCGACGGAAAGACCCCGGCGGGAATCAATTTCCTCTGTCAATTAAGTTCTGTATTTCTTTGCATCTAGGCGCCTCTCTTTCCCCTGTTTTTTAATCGAGACCGGGGGACTAAACGACTCTCTTTTTGTTGATGGGTACCTTTCGACGGGAACCGTCGGTCTATTGCGGGGGATTTAACATGCCAGAACATTTTATATTTAGAGGGCTAAATCGATTTCAATCTACCATTTCTGCCACTACCGTTATCCCTCTGTTCTCAGATGCTTTGCATCCGTCAATTCTATGCTCGCTGGTACAGTCGGGTCTGATTATCCCTCTGCGGGCAGTATAGGTTAGGTCGGCTCTTACCTGTTTCACCAATCTATCGCCGATTCATCTTGGTGGGATTTTATTGACGTTATTGGGTTTCAACTTTCAATGGTAAAAGAGGGTGAGTTTTCATCTTCCTCTCTGGCTGCCATGGTTTCTGTCGAGAGAAAAGGGATTAGTGTTGGAAGAAAAATGGGAACTTGATATGGCTACTGGGCTCGACACCACAGGCCCAAAATTAATGAAAGAAGATAGGTCATATTAATATCACATTAAGTATGATCTTCCACTGGGCTTCAGGCCCATTTTTCGTTTCTTCTATTTCTCCACCTTCATTCCCTTTTGGCTCTTCCCGTTATCAATTCCTTCCTATTGAGTAACTAGATTTGAGCCTACCCGTTGATGGGATGAAGTATGTCACTGCTTTGCAAAATAATAGTAATTATTACAGCAAAATTACTTTTTATTTGGTATTATGAAATAATTCAAATAATTCAATTATTGAAAATATAAAAATGAATATATATATATATATATGTGGTGGCGTATTCGGTGCACCCACTTTTTCGGGTGCACTCAGTGCACCCGCCTCATAATTGTCATTCTGACCATGCGATTCATGTCAAAACGGTATCAATTGTTGCTTATGATATTATGAACAAGAAGCACATGAATTTGATAAAAATTCATTCAAAATTTACTTTAATTCGAAGGATTTAGGGATTTAGGGTTAGGGACTAGGTTTACAATTTGGTATTTTGGGTTGGGATTCAAAATTGAAGGTTAAGGGGTTAGGGTAATAGATTGATTTGTTATGATTCTATGTAATATCATCATATTAGATTGAGAGTAATAATTAAAGTTCAAAATTTGATGTAATATTTACACTTTTAGAGTGGGTGTACTGAGTGTACCCAAAAAAGTGAGTGCGCCGAAGTAGACACCTATATGGTGGCGTATTCTGACATCTATATATATATTAGCCACCTATATATATTATGTTTTCTGACATCTTGATCGTCTTTGGACAAAGTCCTCATCAAAATTGAGAAACACAACACTCATGCATGGTGCCCATTCCCAAAAAATTAATCATAGTACACTTCAATTTACTCCTCAATGTTATAAATTATTGATAAATTTCTTTTGAATCTTTTTGTGATTGCTTCGGTTATCAAAAAATCACCATCAGTCGTGATAATATTATCAACAATTCGCTATTTCCTTCTATCATTGAAATTTCTATATCTACACTCAACAATGTTATCCTTCTTCTTAGCAACGTCACTTATCTTCATCGTCGAATTCATTACCTCCACCTTTAGCATACTTGGTTCTTTTGAGATAGAATTGGGGCACTCTTTTGCCAATTAGATAATTCTCCATGATGAATATTTTTTGAAGCCATATAACCATTAAATATAGTAGCCAATAATAATTAACTCAAAAATTTAAATAATACTGGAATGGGTATAACATTAAAAAATGTGTTACTATCAAAAAAAGTTTTCACAAGAATAATCATCTCACTAATATAATTCTCCTCTAAGAGTTGATGAGAACCAAGTAAACCAAAAGATGCCAAAGAATAAAAGGAAAGTGGTTATTCCTACTATAATTTGTATCTATCTATCTATCTATCTATCTATCTATCTATCTATCTATATCTATCTATACTTAATATTATGGCTATCAAAAGTAACTTCTTGCCACATAAGCACTTGGTGAATTCACAAGATGCCAAGGTGAACAATTTTTTTACAAACAAAAATTTATTTATTGATCTATTTATGGAGCTATCTCTCTCTTCTTTAATACTTCTACTCATTTTTACTAAAACTTAAAATAAGTTACATTTTTTGTGACACATTTAAACAAACGAACACACATAAGTAATAATCTTTTCTTCAATTAAACAAACTATAAAGATGAAAATAGAGAGTGACATATATAGTGTTTGTTTAACCCAAAATATCTTATATAATCTCATTAAGTAAATTTTCTATTATTTTTACTAAAACTTTATAATAAGTTACATTTTGATGAAAACAACAAGCACACATATGAATAATAATAATTTTTCAATTAAACACAATTTAAACGATGGCCTAGGAGAAAATGAGCGTTTGACAATCAATCGTTTTTGAAAAGTGAACTATATGACTATATAGGTTTTGCTATCAAACACTCACTTCTTCCTAATGAATATACTTATAAAATAAAAAAAATTATAATTTATATAGAA